TACCATAGTATATAGTCTTACTGTATTTTTCCTACAGTTTTACCTAGTAATACATCAAGAATATTTTGCCATATCACTATTCTTCTAAATTATGATTTTTTAAAGAAATAGTTGCATATATCACCAGCCCACAATAAACGTACCATAATATAGTCAGTTTTGATTCTTTGTAACTATAAACTACCAATTTATTACTATGATGAATTTCTGCACACATTTTTAACATGTATCTGATTCTTTAAAATAACCCCCCAAATTGTGAGGTTAGAGAGCATAAACCTTTTATGTTCCCCATCAGTAGTAAGAGAGTTCCTGTTTTTCTACACCCTTAAAATGGGGTATCATCACTATGAAAAACTCAGCCAATGAGATAGGCAGTGAGTAGTAAAATCCTTTAAAGTTATTAATACATGTTTCTGCTTTTTAGTGAGTATGGAACATTTCTGCATTTTTACTGGCCACCAGACTTTATGAATTCTTTATTCATTTCTTCTATTTTTTCTACTGGAATGTACACTGGTTTGTAAAAATTCTTTATAAATTAAGGATACTACTACACTAACTCTGTAACTACACTGTCCAACAGAATGGTCACTGTTTCTTAAGCATCTGAAAGGTGGTCAGTCCAAACTGAGATGTGCTGTAAGTAAAATACTAACTGGATTTCAAAGACTTACTACAAAAAAAGAATGTAAGATATCTCAATAATTTTGACACTGATTACATGCTGAAATATCTTGAATATACTTGTAAAATACATTAAAATTCATCTGTTTTTTACTTTTTTTTTAATATGGCTAGCAAACAACTCAAAATTAGATACATGGCTCCCATATTCCTTCTGGACAGTGCTGTTCTAGAATATCCTCTGGTTTTGCCCTTAAAATTGTTTCTTTTAAGTATTCAAGCAATCCTTCGGGGTTTCTTCCTCTCCTTATTCTTTATAAGTCCTTCCCAGCCACACAGCCATTTTAAACTAAACTGTATTGCTCGACAAAGAAAAACATCAAAACGGATGATTTTCTTCCCCCCCAAAGTTCTTCAAATAGTCTTGTCTTCTTCCATGCATCCAACTTAAAACAGTACTCTTTTTCTAAACGATTTTAAAATTTTACATCATGGTTGCCCCTTCAAAAAATGTTTCGGTATTATTGAAACTAAATTTTCACAAACAGGTTATTTTTAAAACCTACTGTTTTTAAGTGTGAAAACACATTTTAATTTTTTGTTAGTCATAAACATCCCAAAGAACTTTGCAAAGTCATTCTGACTAGTGAGATAGGTAATTATTATCTGTGTTTCACAGATGAGACAAAGAGTATATAATTTTCAACATGACAGCTACAGAGAATAGAGATTACAAATCACACTATTTCAA